TTTGATAAGTCCCATCTCCAGCAGCTTTCAACCCATATCAAAGCCATAAAAGCTTTTAGAAGTGGCCTAATTTGATTGGCAATCTTTCTTAGAAGATGAGACAGAAGTTTATCCCCAGGCTAAGTGATGACTTCAGGAGAGTTACCCCAGACCAATACTAGGACATGGGCCAGAAAAAAAAAATAAAGATCACTATTATCTAGGCAACCTTTAGTTACTTAAAGACTTAGAAATCCGATCAACAGAAACATATCCAAAATAAGAAATGGCTGTCATTTTTAAAAATATTATCTATAAGCATCAGACCAGACACTCCCACCCCTGCTGCCAAAAGGTTACTTAACATTGCATTACTCTGTTATTTGGTCACTGCTTACATAATTTTAGGCTCATTTAGTTAGGAATGGTTCTGCAGCAAGAGAAGTGTCTTGTTTGTCCTTCCAAAGGATAATGGGCTACAAAAAAGACGATATCTGACAGGAGGCTTTGTTTTATTTTAAGGCACTTTTTGCTAATGTGTAAGTATTCTGACACTGTTAATCAAAATAGATTTATATAACTAAATCATACCTTGACAGGTATTCCAGTGGTCCTTCTATCTTGCTTTTTCCCCCTCCCCATCAGAGGAACACAGTCATCAAGTTGTCAGCTGGTTTGTTGATGAGATAAGAAAGTCCTTACATACTAAGTAAATCTATTTGGTTTATCAATTTTCTATCAAAAGTGATTCCTAAACTACAGTACCAACTTAACTTCTAGCTAGTTTAAAAGTATCACTTTTTCATCCAAAGTTTTGGAAGCAGACTGAAGTTCAGCAATAAACTAAACATGCAATCAACTCTGCTTAACAGGCAATTTTGAGACTCTCTTATGTGACTCCTGGTATCTACTTATGGTCTCACATGCACACCCTGAATCTCTACTTAAAAATATACCCTTATGAATATTCCCAAAGGAAACAGACACACAGTCATCATCCAAACCACAGCCTTCCTGGCTAAAACTCCCCCTTTTACTGACACACTACCATTTCCTTTTTCAAGCATTCCCTAAACAGCAAAAAGCCTGGCTTCTCACAGCCAGGTAAGAGCTTTGGGGAAGAATTGATTTCACAAAGAATGACACTGTCATACATGCTCTTTGCAGATGAGTTTAGATGACTGCCGCCTCTCCTTTTTTTAAGCTTCCCATTGACAAGAAATCGCTTATTCAATTCACATTTGATATGTGGTCTTCCAGAATCTGTACTTTGACTGCTCATGAACGCATGCAGGTTCAGTTGCAGGATCTTTTTGATGGGGACTGTATTTTTGGATCTGTATTCCACCAAATGCAAAACAACAGACAAACAAGATTAGAGAAAGCTTCTTTCCAGCTCCTCCTGAAGAAGGTCAGAGGTGATAAACATGTGTAAGTGATTATCCTTTTGTATTTAAATTAAATCTGAAGACATTCCCACACACTGTACAATAACCAGCATATTCCTCAAGCACAGGATGTTCAAGACTACACCAATATCGTTACAAGTTTTCCACATTAACCTTCCAAATAATCAAAGACTAATCACAACTACAATCTCAGCCATCTGAGTCTGGATTAACTAAAAGCCTTACCTGTCTTAAACACTTCTACTCTCAAGACAGTACCACTGAACATAGGATGTGGACCAGTGATAACAAAGTCTTAGGTTGCCTGAGACGCAGTCCTTGCTCTCTGGAGAAGGCTGCTTCATAAGACTATGTAACCAGTAATTTCTGGGAAAAAAAATCTGTAAACATTTTAAATTTAAAATTTACTAAGTTAGGCTACACTTAACTTTTACTTTACATGGGTTACTCTTCTCTGCTACAGCTTCTGGAGTTAACTACAAAGCACAAAAGCTGATAAAGTCTTGAAAAATTAGGCTACTACCCAGCTCTACTACTACTATACCTTCAATAAGTTGAGAACAATAGACTACAACTTGGCAGCTGTATTTTAAATAGTTTCCTTAGCTACCCAAAAGCTTGAACGTTCCCAGGTTCAACAAAAAAAGGCCTTAAGAGTAGGTAAAAAAAAACCAACCAAACATCTTAAAGGCAGCTTTACCTACACTCAGAATACCCATCTTTATTACTTCTTTCTCTGGTACACTTAATGCAAGGGAAATACTTTATCTTGCAATCTAAATTGAAAATAAACTTTGCTCCAATTTGATTTGCTTGACCAGCACAAGACTTACAGTTGAAATCTGACTCTGCAGAACTAGATATGCTACATTATGCATTTGCAGCCTATGCCTGCAGCACTCCAGAAAAGACCATTGTCTTCCTTGAGCCACATTAACATCTCATGACATGCTTAAGCCTTTTCTCTATTCAAGGAAGGACTGTAAAGAAACTTTGGTAGTAAAATGTGCCACTGGTGACAAACACACTAAGGAGATGGATCATCTTAAAAAATTCTGGTTGCACAGGTAGTTAAAGTTACATAGCTGTAAGACCACATGATAATGAATCACAGCAGAGAGCTCTGCCCGAGTGCATGAAGTGACCTGAGTCTAGTTCTCAACAGCATATTGGAAGGAGAAACCAAGACAACTATTCTGAGGATTAAACCTCATAATGAAGCTGTATTACAAGATACAAATTTAAAAGGTGTCTTAAAGGTGCTCTTTATTCCATACTAGTCTGGGGAGCAATTTTAAGGACAAATTCATATTCAAACATACACACTCCAGTAAAAGCACTTTCTCCATCCCTCCCCTCAAGTTAAGTTCAAGGTGCTGAGAACTGTGTTCTAGCTGAAATAGCACAAGTCACAACGATGCTCCTAGAAAGCTCTGTACTGGCAAGAAAAATATTCAGTTTCAACTCAAGTTTAAGACCAAATAGACAGTATGGAAGACAAGCAGCTTCTACAAAACACTGCAAAACAAAAACTCTTCAGGAGGTACAAACCTAGGTTTCTGAACAAGTACATTTAGGAATGAACAGTAAGAAACCTCAAGTACAATGAAAAGTGGACCAGCTTTGTTTTGCACATAATTGCATCAACGTGACTGTCTTTGGAAGCAAGCTGTCTCTATTCTGGGCAAACAGAATTTCATTCATAGCCACGGTGGTTTGTAAGATCCCTACCAAACCATGCAGAATCCAGACTCTGAATCAGATCTGAACATTTCTAGTAAGCAATAGTTTTTTTATTGCCTTGGTGTCCCAGCACTATTTTCAAGCTCACATTTAAAAAAAAAAAACAAAAAAAAAACCATAAATGAAGTTTATATCAGGGGATGATGGAAGTATTATAGAGGAAAGCTTGAACTACAGACAGCTATTACAGTGCTGTGGTCTCCCTGTTTCTTTGAGGAAATATTAAAATAAACCTGCAGCTAAGCTGTAGTAGCTTTGCTACTCCATGGTCCTTTTAATTCTTTTTAGCTATAAACATATTAAGAATAAGTTTAAGAAATGTATTAGCGTCTAAAATACTCAATACAATAAATACTGAAGCAAGCACCTGTTTAGAAGACAATGCTTTGTATTGGTTACATAAAGAATCCAAAGAGTAAATTCACATAGAGACATGTTTTGCTTCATCCTAATATTTCACCAATAATTTATTTAATTTGTATTCTCACTGGAAACTCTAGCTTTTTGTTTAGAAAGCAAATTTTTTTAGTTTATTCCATTAATTTACCATTTTACACATTGTTGTACATTTCATATAATCCATTTTTAAACAGAAATTATAAATAGAAAGATTGCCAAAACTTCACATTAGTATTACTCACTAAAAAATAGCTCTGCTCTCATGAGTCTGCTTACCAATTCCTAAAGAAGCATAGGAAAGCCC